CCAGTGCAGGTAGTATTAGTATCAGCAAGGGGCATGAAAGCCTGGAGGTGACTATTTCAAATTAATAGCTCCTACGCCACCCACTGTTTAATCATCATTATTGTACTAAAGAGCAGACATCTGTGCTTCAAAAGCTGGGTTTACATGGCATTCAACTTTTCAATTGTGCTCTCTTCTAAGTTTTGTTGTCCTGAGGTCAGGCCCCGTAAGCTGCTGTGAGGGATCAGCATTCATGGCTCTTGGCATGGGTCATAAGAAAAGGAGCTGAGGCGCTCCCTCAGCTGCCTTTGCCCATGGCCAGTTGTTTGTGTATGTCTGGCTGCCCTGGTTTCAGTGGACAAGGTCCGAAGGGAGTGGTTGCCATTAGGAGAGTGTGTTCTGTGGGAATTGGGTTGGGTGGGAAAAGGGTCCCCAGGGAATGGGTCACTACTTCCATTCTGACCTCACTGCAACTTACACAGTGCCCAGGGCCCTTGTAACAGCAGCTCAGGTCCAGCCTGGGCAGCCATCTGGAGTGGTCCTAGCAACCGAAGCCCAGAGAATGCAGGAGAGCCTTGATCTGGGCTCCTTCTGCTCTCACAACCTCTTCAGTCCTGCTTGGAGTAGACCAGAGAGCCTGGTCACTGTAAATAGATTATAGGGTCTTCATTGCAGAAGACCTGGGAATGGTTTCCTCCCCGTGGATGGTGTCACCTGTAGGATTGGGTCTGTTGTTGGTGTGACCATGCTGCCAGAGCCCTAGTGTTCTCTCCAGATGGTCTGGCTCTGTTCCATTACTGCTCCAGGCTTGCAGTTGTCCTTAGGTCTTACACAGGTCAGATCTGGCCAAGCCTAGGAAACAGGCTGGGGTGTCATATCAGGCAGAGGCCCTGCCCTTGCTGAAGCCTAGCTGGACACTGGAGTAGAAGGATATAGCATTTCCAAGTGACCCAGGGAGTGACCCAGGGCAGAGAGTGCAGGGACAGAAACCTTGAATAGGAACTTCTCAGAGAGCAAGTTTCTACCTGCATGCCAGAGTCTCTCTGTGGGTTTCAAGACACTTCCAACAGCCTCCTGGGCTACAGGATGCCCTAGCCCATTGGTTCTCAACCTTCCTAATGCTGCAACACTTTAAAATAGTTCCTCATGTTGTAGTGACCCCAACCATAAATTTATTTCATGTTACTTCATTACTGTGATTTTGCTACTGTTATGAACTGTATTGTAAATATCTGCTATGCAGGATATCTGATATGAGATCCCCCAAAGGGGTTGCAACCCCCTCCCCACTAGCACCCCCCACCATAACCTTCCTTGGAGGCAGGCAGCAGGGACCACAGTTACTCAGGCTCTGCTTTTATCTCTTCCTGTTTGTTCATGGCTTATGCTTGGCAAACACCAGAAGGATGAATAGATGAGGGTTAGAACTAGGACCCTGTGACGGCCAGAAGATGAAATAGCAGAATATGTATATCAGCTGGAGATGGGAGTGTGTGAGGTGTTCCTTCTTCTAAAATAAGGTCAGTGGCCTCAGCCACCAAAGGAACAGAGTCAGTAGCACAAGCAAATGGGACACAGTTCTCTGGGGACCTTCCCTGAGCTTAGATGTGATGGGTTTGTCCCGAGACTGCTGCGGAGCACACCTGGTGGGGGTTATCCACACACTATCACACTGTCCAATCCTATTGGCTGGTGAGGGACCGTGTGTGAGGAGTGAACCAGGCAGGGCTGCTGTGCTCAAGGACAAACTGCAGATGACAAAGTGGAAACCAGTGACCCTCCAAGGACTGGAGTATGTGTGCTGTGCTTGGCCCTAGCTCAAGTTCCCAGACAAATTGGAGGTAGATGCCTGTGCAGAAGGGCCAGCAGGGTGGGTGCTGGGAAGGCAGGCACCCTGGGGAAGCCGGCAAGCCATCAATAGTGTGATGCTGACCCTCTGCAGCTCTACCTAGAAGTCTGGGGGAGGGGCCACCTCAGAATTTTTGCTCGGACCTTTGATTCCCCCCACTCTGACTAATGTCTACATGTGTACCTCCATTTCACACCCACCCCCAGTATCACCTTGGGTGAGCCAGCATCCTGGGAGGAATTCATTGGTAAGCAACTGCAGGGATGGGGTGCTAAGTTGCCATACCCACTCTGGTGGCTTTTTGATGTTGGTGGTGGTGGTTGTTTGTTTTATTTTGTCGAGAGCAGAGAGTATCTGGCCTAGAGAAAGGAAGCAATCTTGAAAGGCTGCATGACAGAGGAGGCACTTTGAGACTTCTGAAATGCACAAGATGGTTGTTTCTAGGCAAAGGAACAGGCAAAAAGAATAGTAGAGGCATGTTCAGAAACCAGCAGGTCTAACTGGGCCTGCAGAGAAGACAGTCTGGACAAGAACAGAATGCAGGTGCAGCTTACTGGGAGAATTGGATTGTCCTCTGTCACCTTTGTACCTGGTTGGGAAGGGATTTTCACAAGTGAACAACTCAAGACAAGAGACAGGTTCTGGGGCTAGCAGACTACTAGACTTGGTGTTGGAAAGTAGAAGGGAGAGCCAAGAGGCAGGGAGATCAGATCATGTAGGGAGGAGCAAGGACACAGGACCCACTGATGGATGGAAGGGGAGTTACAGTCCAAAACCGGTTTGATGAGGAAAAGCAGAGCAAGGTGGAGCAGATGGAGCAGGTGGTTTCTGCTTGTGGACCTTGGGTTGGGGAACCAGAAGGCCAGAAATGAAGGGGAAGGCCAGGGCTGACCCTGGCTGACGCTGTAGACTAGGGTGCAGTTTGTCCTCCAAGCAAGCTGACTACGGGCAAATGGGAGGAGAACCTTCCTTACGGGGATCTGGATTAGAGGAAGCTTCCTAAGGAAGCCCCTACACCCCCTTTTTTGTGGGACCCAGAGTCTTACATGATAAGTCTGAGTCCTACTCCTACCTCACCTCTCTTTCTCAAGGATGCCCCCTCCTCCCTCTCCAGCCGGTCTTCTCCACTCTTGTGCATTCCCTCTGTGGAAGAAGGAAGGGACCATGTTACCATGCCCTCAATTCGTGATCCCTAAAACACAGGCACGTTTTTCTGTTGTTGTTTTTGTTTTTCTGTTTTTGTTTTTCGAGACAGGGCTTCTCTGTGTAAGTGCACTGGCTGTTCCGGAACTCACACTGTAGACCAGGCTGTCCTCGAACTCACAGAGAGATCCACCTGCCTCTGTCTCCGGAGTGCTGGGATTAAAGGTGTGCACCACCACTGCCTGGCCACAGACACGGTTTTAAGACCGCCCATCAAGGCTGGAGGCAAGACCATTGGTGGCTGGTGTGAATAGCCTGGGGTTCCACAGAAGTTGATGTGGAAACTGAGGGGAACTCAAGTTAGGTTCACAGTCAGGGATAACCATAAAAGGAGAGTTGTTTTTGTTTTCATCCTCTGAAGCAATTAACTTCTCAGTGATAGAAGTTTCTTATTGGATTATGTTATATCCATACATATTTTGTTTAATTTTAAAAATAATCTTATGGCCAAAGCGTGACAGTGTAACAGTGAGCGCTGATGCTGTCACTGTTGTAAAATTGACTTTGCAGAAGGGGAAACTGAAACCCTGAGCACTGGGAATTGGCTCAGATTGTACTGGTCACTGGTGGCAGAGCTGGAGTGCAGACCTTCTCTTGCTGCTGTCATTACCCCTGGACTGTCCAGTCTACCTGGAGTGACCTGAAAGGGGAGTCACATGAAGAGAATGCAGGGAGCATAGGTTCTCTTTCAAAAATGGATTTGCAATCAGCAGCACATATCTGCAATCTTGTCACTCCAGAGACTGAGACAGGAAGATCACTACAAGTCCAAGGCTAGGCTAGATGAGACCCTCAGAAAATGCCAAAAGATCCCCCCAAATAACAAAAAAATTCACATGCAGTAAACTAATGGACACTTGGGTACCAAACTGTAGGGAATGTCGACCTCTGAGGGTGGGATTATGGGTAATGCTTGTTTCTTCCTAGCATTGTCCCACAGTCTCCAAATGTGTACAGTGAGAAAGGGTTTTATTTGTCTTCAGGTAGAGCCTAATTGTCCAGGATTATTGCCTTCCATCCACTCTGCGACTCAAGCTTTAAAAAATTGCTTTCTTTCTCTCTCCCTCCCTCCCTCTCTCCCTGTCTCCCTCCCTCCCTCCTTCTCTCTCTCTCTCCCTCCCTCTCTCTCTTCTCTGTCTCTCTGTCTCTGTCTCTGTCTGTGTGTGTGTGTGTGTGTGTCTGTGTGTGTGTGTGTGTGTGTGTGTGTGTATTCTTTCCAACTGCTTCCTGGTGCTGGGATTACAGATGTGGGCCATCACACCTGACTAAAGGAAGTCATTATTTTTACCACCAGGTAATGCTATAGGAAGTCCATTCACAGCCCCACATTCTGGGGGACAGTGATAGACCTGTGGGTTAGTTTCTGATCAGCTTGTGTAGCTGAGCCTCAGGGCAGGTGGCCATGAAGACCACCCAAAGCTTTGCTTCAACAAAGACATGCGCATGCACAGCAATGAAACCCCAACTAAGACAACGCCCCACTCCCCAAGTCACTTCTGCCCTACGGCTCCCATCTCTAGTCCCAGAATCCCCAGATGCACACAGGGTATTTCTTCTCAAAGCCTATGGTAACCTCAAACCCCAAGGACAGAGCAAAGAATCTTGGCCTGTAGAAAGATGGTCCTTGGCCAATGGGTGAGTCCCAGGTACTTCAGACTCTACTGTTCTGTCCTTAGTTAGGACGTTTGTTTTTGTTTTTAGAGTCATGGTCTCATCATATGTCCAGGGTAACTTGGGATTCTCCTGTCTCAGTCTCCCAAGTGCAGATGACAGTCATGTGCCCCATGCCCAGCCCCATTATATTCCAAGAGGGGTAGGGGTGGAGAGTAGGGGATATAGGCAGGGAGCAGGTTCCCATGGGACTGAGGTAAGGAAGGCAGGTGGCCTACCACCTCTGGCTCACTCTGCTCTGTGACACTTGGGTACCATCATGGAACTCTCAAAGTGATCTTGTTTTTCCTTTGACCAGAGACCACCTGGGAACGGCCCAGCAGTTCTCCTGGGATTTCAGCCAGCCCTGGCCCTCACAGGAGCTCTCTGCCTCCAACAGGTAAGATCCATTTGGCAGGTTGGGGCTACTTGGAGGGCTACATACCCACTTTCACAGGGAAGCTGAGGCTGTGGGTCCTGGGCCCTGAAACCTGGTGTGGAATCTTGTGGCCCAGACATGGAGATGGTCCAGACCAGATCCCTGAAGCCTGCTTCCCAGCATGGCGGCATGTCCAGGCAGGATCAACTCTGGGTTCTTTACTACTGAAGTACATAGGAGGGTTGGCTGGGTGAGGTCAGAGGTCGGAGATCTTTCTAGGTACAGAATAGAACAGCTCCACATGGCTCTCGCCATCATTGAGGAGCAGAAGCTAAAAGAAGGTGGAGATTCATGGGGGAATTCTTGAACAGAATGCTCTGTAAAGGAAGAGAGTTTGTGAGGATGTGAGTTATCTGCAGAGGTAGCTGGGTAGCTGAGTGGTGGCATTTGAGGTATATACTCTGTACAGGTGTGAGGGTTGTCCAGAAATGTCTTAGGTAACAGCTGGTTCTTAGATGTGAGGATGAAGGTCTCAAGGCTTGCCAACATGGAGAACAGCTTTTGATTTTTTTCTGGGTTTCCCTTCTCCAGACAGCCTCCCCTGACTACTCTGTTTGGAGCCCTCAATCTCTCAGTCTGTATCACAGTGTATGGTCTTACTGCGTTCAAAGTTCTTCTCCCTCTTGAAGCTGTCATCCCATGATGTACTCAGGGGAGGGCCTGGGTGTCTCTAAGTCTCCACACAGAGCCTGGCTTCACATGAATTCACAAGTCATCACAGAAATTACTACACATACAGGCTTATCAGTGCCCTATGCTGTCACCCATGGGTAAAGCTGGCTTAGACCTCTGTAGAGGCCTCGAATTCATAAACTCTCACTTGACATCCTAGAAGCATGTCAAGAGCATTCTGCAGTCCAGCATCAAGTGTGCAGGGCCTCTAAAGGGTTAAGGATGGTGGGGACATAGTTAAGAGGGTCAGAAGGGGCCTGGGCAATGGTTGCCCATACTTCAGAGACCTAGCGTGGCATTTCCCAAGTGTAAGGCCATAGAATACTGTATAACCAGCACTCTGCCAAAGGGGCTCAGTAGTCAGGCTCTCTTTGGAGGTTTGTTGGACACACTCTGTTCTGGAAGAGACCAGGATACACCAGCACATTTTATAGGAACCCCCATTGTATTTGTCCATTCCAAGTCCCTCCTGTACTTGCCAGCCTGTCTGATCTCAACTTGGAGAAGCTTTGCCTTCCAGGGAGCATTAGGCAGAGACTACCACAGGTGGAAGGACCCACAGGCATCATCTAGGAAGAGACTAGAGGTCTTGCTAAATGTCCCACAAGGCATAGGAGATACCCACAACAAAGACTCCCGGGCTTACAACAGTGGGAGTTAAGGAACTGTTCTGGGGGACAGGACCTCCATTCAGCACTGCCCATGGCAGTGACCTTGGTCTTTCAGGAGTCCTGTGACAACAGGGAAGATTATCAAGCATGAAGAGCCTGTCTTGGATTCTAGGACCCACTCTTTGGTTTAGCACCCATTTTAATGTGGGGCCACACCAGCTGTATTGTATAAAGAAGAGTCCATCCCAACTGGAGGGGAGTAAGCCCCCTACACCTTAGTGGTATTTAAAATCTGAGTATGCCTACTGTCAGTGGCAGCCTTACTTTGGGAGATTTTGGCTTGTTTCCTGGGGTCTCAGCCATGTTGCTTCCCCCACCATGCCCTTTTTCACCATTCATATATTAGGAGCCCACAGGGTGATCATGGCAGAGGGCCTTCCTGACCTAGATTCATGACTTGATACTGTTCACTCTGGAGCAGAAAGATATGTCAGCCGTCTGTCTATCTGCCATCTACACTCCCTCCTGCCACCTTCCCTACATCTGCTGTCTGTCTTCCACCTTACCATCCACCCTTGTTCTGATCCCATTCTGTAGCTGTGATAAAAACCTCTTATTAAAAATACTGGAAGGGAGGAAAAGGTTTATTTCAGCTTTAGGGCACAGTCCATCACCGAGGGAAGTCAGGGCAGGAGCTCAAACAAGAACTTGAAACAGAAACCGTGGAGGAACGCTGTTGGCTGGCTTGCTCACTGGCTCACAATTAGCCAGATTTCTTCTACAGACCTGAACCACGTTCCATGGGGCATGGTGCCTCCCACAGTGGGATGGGCTCTCCTGAACCCATCAATAATCAAGATAACCCCCCACAAGCTTGCTTACCCTCCAATCCTCTCTAGGCCATTCCTCAGTTGAGGTCGTCTCACACGACTCTAGGCTGTGTCAAAGTGACAATTAAAGCTAAGTATGGCAAATCCCTATTCCTCCTGCTCTCATCCTTCTTGTATCCCATCACCTTCTCTTCCCTCCTTCTCATCATCCTCTTTTCCACCCTCTGACGTCATCTACCCTCCATTATCCAACCACTGTCCCCTCACCCACTTCCAGCCACTCTCTGCCTCCCTGCCCCCACCCTCGATCCTTGATCGTGCCTCCACCCTCCATCTTCCTGCTGTCTTCACTCCATCTACTTTCCTCCCTTCCTTTATCCATTCTATCCTTCTTCCATCTTCCCCATCCAGTCTCCATCCTCCCTCTGTCCTCCATCCTCTCTCCACCAACCCTCCATCCTCAAGTACTATTCCAGTGATAGCAGGGTCTGGTATATGTTGTTGTCTTCTTTCCTCATATTTTATTACAAGCCTCTTAAGTAAAAAATAAAGTAGTGGCCATTCTATTTCTCTGTAGGGGATCGCAAGGTTTTTGGTTTGTTTGTTGTTTTTTGTTTTGTTTTCCTAGTTCTTTCTCCTATTTAGTTTAATCAGAGATTGGAGTGTGTGTGTGTGTGTGTGTGTGTGTGTGTGTGTGTGTGTGTGTAAAGTGTGAGTGCCAGTGTGTGTGCCATACATCAGAGGTGAGAGGACAACTTTGGGGGGGTTGGGTCTCTCCTTCCTCTGTGACATCCAGGGATTGTAATTAGATTGTCAGGCTCGTCCATCAAGCGCGTTTAACCACGGGGCCATCTTGTGGACCCTGTCAGCCACCTCTGTCAGTAAATACGCCACTGTTGCCCATTCCCAGGGAGCTGACACCCTGGGACACACTCGGACAAGCAATCACAAAGGAAGTAGGCCAGGTGATGCCTGCACGCTCTAACAAGGAGTGAAAGTGGGACAATGTGACAGTGACTGGGGAATCAGAAGACCTTAGCAAAGAAGTGGCATTTAGAACAAGATTTAGGGTATGGTAGGGCTGGGGAGGAGTGGGAGAGTCCATGAATCTGGCCAGGAACAGCTAGGTCAAAGGTCCTAAGGCTTGAGAACAGCATGAGGGGGCCGGCTGGTCTGGACAGGAGGGAGGTGGGGACAGGTCTACCAAGCCGGGTGATCTGAAAGAGGAGCGCACTGGCTTCATGTTGCATGTGGAGGTGGAAAGGAGGGAAGAGCTGATGGGTGAGTAGCGCTGACTTCATGAGCAGCTGCCAGGCTGCACTGGCTCTCTGCTTTCTGTTAGCAGTAGAGAGGTTTTACACGGTGTGTGTGTGTGTGTGTGTGTGTGTGTGTGTGTGTGTGTGTGTGTGTGTGTGTGTGTGTGTGTGTGTGTGTGTGTGTGTGTGTGTGTGTGTGTGTGTGTGTAGGGCAGTGAAGAAAACCAAGTCACCTTTCCACAGACCACAGACATCCCTCTAGCCTCTCCTGAAGGAAAACATGGAACACTAAACAATGTTGGGAAACCACAGATTAATCCCACTAAGCTGCACAGGGGAGGGGTTGCGGGGTGGGGCTCAGCTTTAATTCCAGGGGCCCTCCTTCCACAGGGCCTTCAGGCTCAGGGCAGGGCTGGTTCATTCTTCTCACAATTAACACAAATCGCCAGGTTCCCAGCTGGGGAGGAGAGATCTAGCTATATACCTGAGCCCTCAGAACCATTCTTCTTTTTAACTGTTGGTGATATTTACAGTGACTACTGGGCTGGGGACGTGGCCCACATTGCCTCTTTTAATGTCACCAGAGTTGAGGAGCCCTATGGATTCAGTGGCTTTACTCGTGCTGCCTACCGCCAGGCTTTCTAAATGAAAAGCCATTCAGACCACAACAGAACTCCTGAGAGCCTTTCAGTGACTGCTGGTGACATCAAAGTCCCTCTCTGGGCTGCTTTAGCGTGCATTGTGGAGGGATTGGTTTGTGGAGAGTGAAACTGTATCAGGCACAGGGGAGGAAAATGGAGTGAGGAATGGCCTTCTTTAAGTGTCATGTCTGAGTCACTTGTAGGATGAGGGACAGCAGAGAGAAGTGCTGTCCCTCCCTGTAGAGCTTGTGGGGGCCATGAACAGAATCTGTATCTTGTGCTCAATACCGAGGCCACTGGCCATTTGTGCTCCTCATATGTGCAGTGTGCCAAAAACAAAAACAAAAAACTGGAATTTTACCTTAATAACTTTTAAAATCTTTTGGAACAATTTTATGCTTACAAACAAGCAGAAAAATGCACAGAAATCCCTGTACAGCCTTTCTTTTCTAATTAATTTTTGGGGAAGAGGATGGCAGCACTGGAGATGGGACCTAGGGCCTCATGTAAACTAGGCAAGCCCTCTACCACTGAGCCACAGTCTAAGGTTGCCTGGTATATTTTCCATTCAGTTTCCCCTGTGAATGTCCATCACAGCCAGAGTCCATTTGTCCGAACCAAGAAGTGAACCTCATGCATTATTATTAACTAAATGCCAGACTTTATTTGGACTTGATAATTTTTCTATGAGTACACTTTTTCTAGTCTATGATGCTGCATTGAGATTTTATTTAAATAAGGTTTGTTAAAAAACAATCACCTGTAGCCAGTGGATGGGGGCATCCAACAGAGCCAATGTACTGAGGAAGCTCCTACCTGAGCCTCTGGCCTGGGGTGTGCACTGAACCCGTGGGGGCTTTTGTTTGTTTGTTTATTTTGTTTATTTTTTGTTTTGCTTTTGTTTGTTTGTTTGGTTGGTTGGTTGGTTTTTGTTTTTTTTGGCACAGGGTT